CATCCCCACACCGATGAACGCTGGGCGAGCAGCGAGGGCTGCGCTGCTGGAAACGGTGCTGGGAGCCTCAGCCGCACCGCCCCTGGGCTGGGCGGGGGGACAAAGCCTGTTCCCTTCTGCTCCAACGCCCCTCGCTGTTCCTGCTCTTTACGGCCAGGGTGAGGAGTTAGGAAAATTAACCAGGACGATTAATAAAGTTATGCACATGGGGCCATGCAAGCCCAGAGCTGCCAGGAGTAGCTGTGAACAGGCAATACTGGGTTTTGGATGGTAATGGGAGCGGGGCACAAAGGGGGACCCCATCCCACATCTCCACCCGCACCACAGGAATCGCTCACTCAGCACAGCCCGAACACCAACGCAGCCACTAAAGCCAGACTGATTTTATTCAAATTGCGAATGTAAAACAGAATAATAAAATAAAAATCCAAAACCAATCCAACCCTCACTGGCTTCAGAGCAGAAAGCTGCAGGTAAACCGCGCCCAGGCCTTCCTTCTCCTTCGCCCTCCTGTGTTAAGGCTGCCTTCGTCACTGGCGACAGGAGGGAAGAGGGACAGGTCGAGCCCCAGTTCCTTTGGGAGAAGTTTGGCACAAATCTGGCAGGGCCGAGCCTGGTGGAGGGAAGGGCAAGGCTCCAGCCCCACAGCCACGGGTGTCAGTGGGTCAGCGGGAAGCTCCGAAAGCTACGGGATTACCTACGGGGCTGCGGCAAGGGCAGATGGAGGGAATGTGGCAGAAGAAGGGGTTTGCACCCCCGGCCAAGGGGCCAAGTCTGCAGCACGGGGCTGTGTCTCCCCACCCCAGGTGGCGCACCCGTCTCGGCTGAAAACGGGAAGGGATTGGGGCACCCAGCTCACCCCAATCCCAGCCCCGCAGCAAGAACTAAAGGCCTGGCTGTGTGTGCAATCTGGGGCTGAGCAGGACCTAGGGCTGGGATGCTGCGCCTGAGGTGTCTTGGTGTCAGCAGGAGGAGGGAGCCTGGGGCCACACCAGTGGGTTGCTGCCTGCCCATCCCAAGGGGTGCAAGGCTGATGGTCCCCACCCTGAGCTGCTGTGAGACCTGGTGCATCGCTCCCAGCTGTCAGTGTCAGGCCCAAGAGCCTCCACCTGCTGTGATGTCTGGGGCAGAGCTTGGACATGGCACCCACATGGCTCTGGGGGGGG